TCCATGTACACAAGGAGGAAAAAAAAGCTCCTTGTCCTATTTAGATCAAATAATAATGATCATTAATGAATCACGTTGTTTATTGCATTTTTTATCATGTGTGTCCAGCACTTGAGCAGGCAGGTGGAAACAGTCTAACTGTATTTTACTGATGGATTTCTCTGGATATATAGTTTGACTGTTATGAAGGTATAATAAGATAATTGTTTTTCTATAATGCATCTCCTACTATTTTCATGTATGATCTTATAACAGATGAGCAGTATTTACCTGCTTTCCTGGAAGAGCGGGTCGTGTTTCTTTGCACAGGGCATGCTAAGTGAATTAAGAAGATAAACAGCCCATTTGCTTGGGGAAACTGTTGTGTCAACAAGAAGGTTACAGCAGGATGCTGAGCAGACTGGAGGATAAGTACATGGCATGTAACTATTCTGGCAGAAGAACTAATTTGAAATGGGCTCAATTCTGTTAATTGATATGTGATTACATTGCACCGTTGCTAAACGTTAAATTCTGGCCTAGAAGGAAGTTTGAGCCTGGAAATGTTTTTGAAGTGATTTTGGAGAAGTGCCTTTGGATGTGGCCAGGTCCTAGGCGCTAGATGGTAGCTGCCTGAAGGACGTGTTTTTGTTTGGTTAACACTTAACTTGTCTTCCTTTTATTCGGCATTTCTCATCACACAGTTTAGTTAAAAATATCATCTTATGCAAATTTTTACTTCTGCTTGGTTTTCTCCACTAAGCCAGTTTGAGCCTTGTTGTTATATGTGCAACCTCAGGTAAGCTGTCAGGAATTCCCCCGCACTTCGGCTGGCATTTGTATCTGCACGAAAAACCTTGCGGTTCTTTGTGCTTGATGGGATCACTACCACAGGCCACAAGCTCTCCTTGTAGATGTAATTCTGCAGGAGGTCTCGGCAGGGCTAGGGGTTGCAAGGCCTTTGTGCCTTAAATTGTGTGTGGTTTCTCCGTGATGAGGTAGCATCCTGCAGTGTTTCCTCGTGTAAGGTATGCTTTTAACTGCTTTTAAGGTTCACTCTGGTTATTTCTATATCTCTGCCTTTTTTTCCCCTACTTTAGAAGTGTTATTTATAATTGTTTTTTTTGTTTGTTTGTTTTTTGTTTTTTGTTTTTTGTTTTTAAACATAAGGAATTCCCTTTCACTGGGGTCTGTGGAATTATTGCATCTAAAGAGCGTTGTCCTTTTTGCTCTTTTTCATCAGTGTGTCAGAGCAGTGCATCTCTTTTGGATGTCAGTTCTTCATGTTTCTGCTCCAGGCTGTGAGTTCATCTGTTCACAGAAATATCAACTTGGACATTTTTGCAACTGCTTGTCTCTCTGGTGCTTGTGCCCCCTCGTAGTGGTGTGTACTTGAAAATACCAGGCTGGAGATAATGGACAAAGAAGCAGCACATCAGTACAGTGCTTGAGTCTGGCATCTTTGGTTCAGCGCATAACACACAAAAATCATTGTGTTAGCTCTCTGTATTTGTAGACAAATGAAGCTTAATGTCCCTCTTCGGGCTCTGATTTTTCCTAGTGGATTCTTTATTTAATCATTTCAGTCTGTGCTGCTTGTGGCTTTTCAACCTCTGTTGGGCTGGCTGTCAGAGTCTGCCATCACCACAGAACCAGCAGGTTCGCTGCCTAATTCTGTACCTCTCGCATGTGTTGACTCTATTGTATTTGTGGGATTTATCATTATTTCACTATGGAACTTGGCAAGCTGTGATTTTTTTCTTTTCTTTTTCTTTTTTTCTTAAACACTGCAAAGTTATAAAATTGGGTTAAGAATTAAAAGGCTCTCAAAGCATCCTAGTCCTGAAACAACTCTGCAGAGCATGAATAAGTAACAAATAGATTGTTTGTCAGTCAAAATAATCAGCTGATGTGATCTTCCTTGTGAAAAATGTTATGAATACCTGTTGGGTTGGCTTTTTCCTCTCTGAAATTATGTAAGAATTCGGTTTGCTTGAAATCAGTGATTATATGCTAAATTGGTCTCTGAAATTTTACATATTTTTGAGCCTTGAGAGAAGATCAAAATATATCAGATTCTGTGTTACAGAGGACGTACTCATCTGTGCTTTTACAGTATATATGTCACGTGACACGGAGTTAAGCTGATGAATTTCTAAAGCCACAGTTTAGTTCTACATGGTCTGATTACGTCTTGTTATTTCCCTTTTTGTTATAGTAAGTGCAGTAGGAAGCTGACGTTTGTGCACACTTATTCACAATAATTGCAGACTCAGTAGAGACGGATATCTAAAGAAGGTACCAGCTGATTGAAGGTTTCAATTAAATACTTCTTTCAGCTTTAAAATGTTTTCCCTTAAGCATCAGTGTGTGTTGAATACATGTACAGAGTCAGTATTGTCATACGTGTTATAGTTATGCCTTGTACAGACACATTCAGATTGCACTTATTGCACCATTTAAATTGCACTGTGGCATAATTATCTGTAACTTTGGATTTTCAGTGTCAGGTTACTTTTAGTACGAGCCTTGCAAAAGGGCCGTGCATGAGTGGACTTTTCTTTGTCAGTAGCTTTTCCTTTCTCCCAGTGTATCCTCAATTTAGGGAATATTAGGGTTTTGGGTTTTTGTTTTTTAACTTCCTTAGAAAACAGTTACTGTACTGGTGAAATTTTTTTGCTTTTTGCTTACCAAGTCCCAGATCTGCTCAGTTTAAGCTAACTTGGCTTTCCGTCTCTGTCATGCTGCACTCTGAACTCTTGCTTGCAGCTGCGTTGGTGTAGTAGAAATGCTAAGTCATGGCCTGAAGCAGTGATGGAGCACCTGGTGGGATGGCAGGGCCAACCCAGGGGAGCTCAGGTGCGTGCAATGTTCCTGAGTGAGGAGAAGGAAGGAAGCCAGGATCCACCCCTTCCCAGAGCTCATGTAAGGCTTGGCAGTCGAGGTGAGGGTATCTCTCTGGAGATCCCTGTGTACCCGAGGCCTTAAAGTAAGAGGTTTCTTTCCTTTGTTTCTGTGCTCACAGCAGTTGCATTTGAGCAAGTCCTGACTTGTTGCAGCTTAGGACTTGGCTACTCTGTTGTCTTTGCCATGCTTTCCGTGGTGTTACAGGCTGTGTGTTCTCTCTTTAACATCTGGCAAGTATGGAAGGTTAAAGTTCAGTGCTCCAGAGGAAACATTCAATGTTTCCTATTGTGGTTTCCTGTAAACCTGTTGTTCTTCAGCAGTGGGAAGCTTAGAAGTACTGTCGGGTGAGCAACGGTCTTCAGCCTGCTGAGGTTTTTGTGAACCCCATGGAATGATGGAGCATCCTCAGCTGGGAAAGACCCATGTAGATCTTTGAGTCCAACTCCTGGATCCACAAGGAACCACCTGAGATTGAAACCGTATTGTCCAAATGCGACTTGAACTCCATCAGCTTGGGGCTGTGACCACTACCTGGGGAGGATGTTCCAGTGCTGACCACGCCGTGGTGGAGAACCTTTTCCTAATACTCCCCTGGCACAGCTCCGTGCTGTTCCCTTGAGCCCTGTCGCTGTCACCAGAGAGCAGAGCTCAGCGCTGCCCTTCCGCTCCCCGTGAGGAGCTGCAGTCTGCCCTCAGGCCACCCTTCAGCCTCCTCTGCTCGGGGCTGAACAAACCGAGGGACCTCAGCCACTCCTCAGGTGCCCTCTAACTCCACGTGCAGGGTTGTTAGCAGAAGACCTGCTCTGTGGTTTGTCAGGTCTATTTTCTTTGGTTAGTGGGATAGCTACTTGGAATACTTTCCTCTCGAGACTTCTGCAAACAGGCAGGGAAGGGAGTGAGGAAGCCGACAGCTCTGAGGTCAATCCAGCGGCTTGGGCAGTTGGTGTGCGAAAATGTTCTGTGATGGTGATGTTAATGTTAATGTTAATCTCAAATACTTGTAAAATACAAACCGATAATGGTGGTATTTATTAATGGTATTACTGTAGAGGGTAATGAAACTCCTTTGGAGCATTCTGCTATAATTGTTTTTGGGTCTTATGCTATTATTTCTGAAAGAATAAGGTAACAGAGAATGTTCAGAGCCTCAGGAAAAATTAGGCAAGATGATGTGATCACTTCAGAATTAACACAAATCACAGCTGTATGAGGAAAAACTTTAAAAAGGTTTTTCAAACCATATAAAATGAAGAGGAAAAACTAAAAGCAATTCCCTAGGCAAGGCTGAAGTAGACATATTGTATCTGGTGATGCACTGTTCTGTAGTACTTGGCATAATTTGTAAGTAGAATTTACTTAAAAAAATTTTAGGTGTTTGTGAAAGAGGAAAAAAATACATTAAGAAACAATTTCGGATTCAATTTTCTGAAAGTGTGGAAGTTGGGCTAAGTACAGTCGGTTTGCTTGTTTTCATGTGTTAATTCTGCTATTCTGAAAGCGTGCAAATGGCATTTGTCTCTGGATTTACAAAAACTCTAGATATTCGGAGTTTGAATTATTTAAGCTCCCACAACACATGCACTTTTGCTTTTCAAGCTTGAGTTATAATTTAATTAAAAACTTCTGGTGCATCGCTGGCTGTTTAAATATTAAAATGTTCCATGGATCACTTTCGATTATCTACTGTCCTAAAATTCCTGAAGATGTCAGATTTTTAAGATTCCCAGAGTTGCGCTTGGAATTGTCTGTTGATGCAAAGGGGACTGTGATAATTACATACCTCCATTAGTATCAGCAGAGGAGATAAACTTTGGGGAGGCTTAATGGGCATGTCTCAGTGACAGCTAGCAAAGAACATTTGGCATGATTAAGGATGGATTTGAATGTACTTGAAAATATACTCTCATTATGGACGCCCAGTGGAAGTTGCACTACAAATGTTAAATTCCCCAGAAGAAGAGTTGTGTGGCAGGGAAGCTTTGAAATCCACTGTGGCCGTCATCCAAATTACTCTCTTCTCTTTGTGTCTTTCTGCTGTCAGATTCACTTTGTGATGCCCAAGTTGGCTCCCTGCATCTTTGAAAAGAGGCAACCTGTTGATTTCTGTGTTTCAGATTGTCCGAAGATACATCAAGGACTGGCTTGAAAGGAAGAAGCCTCCATTTGGCACTATCAGCAGCTGCGTGCTCCTGATGATCATCTACACTACGTTCTGTGATACTTTTGCCAATCCAAATATTGACCTTGATAAGTTCAGCTTGATTGTAATAGTGTTTATAAGTAAGTATAACCTTAAAACATCTAATTCACCAGCAATTCTTGTGTGCAGTGAGCTTATACATACTGGAAGGAGTGGGGCTGAGGGAATACTGGCATGGGTTTAGAGCTTGCACTTGGAATGTATCCAGTAAACTAAATAGACTACTTCTCAGGCACTGGATGCTTTTAGGAGGTTGAGTAAGCGTTTTGAGAGGGGTGAGCCCTGAGATAGCTTGGTGATCCTTTCTAACGGGGTGTGATTTCACTTGCCAAGTGTTCATGACTTCAGATTTTGGCTGCTTGATTATTTAACAGCCATGTTTGCATAGGAGTGTTCCGAACAAAAAGAAAATATTTGCAATTGAGCTGTTACTCAAAATATTGCTTTGCTTTTAAATAGTTCCTTACTGTTGTGGAAACCTAAGAAGTAGTTGGGAGTTTGAAGGTGTTAATACATTCCTGTGGATGAACGCATTTGGTACAGAGTTTGTTTTAGAAGCACTCTATTCATTCAGCCTTAAGTAATGCACACATGAGAATAGACTGCTGGTATCTTTGCCATCAGTTAAAAATACACTTGCAGATCACTACCTCCCAGGGAAGGGCAGTGGTGTACAGGCGCTGTCTCTTCTCCCAGTAGGTAATTCTTGTCTCGTTTCAGGCTGTGCAGAGGCAGTTTCAGTTCACTTAGAGGCGAAGTAACTGCAGCGTATTGCAGTGCAAAACACATCTCAAATTCCCTGAAACTGTTATTTTAAGAAATCAGTGCATCACCTTCCTCAAATATGTGTATGTGCATGTTTCTGTCTAACACAAATAATGTATCCTGTACAAATTCAACTGTCACTGAAGTTACCGGGAAATTTGCCCCGTCCTTTGTGGGTCAGTTTTTCTGTCTCACACGTTCTAATTGTGGCAGCTTTTGGGGGGTTGTGAAACAGTATGTGTGTATAAAATATCACATGAAACAATAATCGGTACTGTGCAAATACTTTACTCTGAGACGAGTGAAAGAAGCCATTCTAATGAGCTTTTTCAGAACGGACTAAATAGTTATTGGCGCAGGCACCTGAGAGTGTAAGAGTGGAGTTGCCAGGGGAAGAAGCATATAGAAATCTCTATCTCTGCCTTAACTTACAGAAAAACTGAGAAGTAATTTAGTTACTGTGATGACCACTTCAGAAGAAGTTGCCTTTCTGCTAAAAACAAAGTGGATACAATACTTAGATACAAAGTACATAAAATAAAGATACATACTTAGATACAAAGTAGATAAATACAAGGAGAATATCCACTCTTTGCTGGGTGAGGCTGGGAATGTGACCACTGAGGATAAGGAAGAGGCAGAGGTTCTGAATGCCTTCTTTACATCTGTCTTTAAAAGTCAGACCAGTTATCCTCAGGACACTCCTCTCTCTGACCTGGTAATCTCGGCTGGGGAGCACACTAACCCCCCCGTGATTCTGGAGGAAACAGTCAGAGACCTACTGCTCCAACTGGACTGCCTCAAGTCGATGGGGCCAGATGGGATCCACCCGAGAGTGCTGAGGGAACTGGCGGAGGCGAGAGCCAAGCCGCTTTCCATCATCTGTCAGCGCTCCTTGTTGACTGGTGAGGTCCCAGAAGACTGGAGGCTTGCCAGTGTGACTCCCATTTATAAGAAAGGTCGTAAGGAGGATCTGGGGAACTACAGGCCTGTTAGCCTGACCTCGGTCCCAGGGAAGGTTATGGAGCAGATTGTCTTGAGGGAGATCATGCGGCATGTGCAGGGTGAGTGGGGGATCAGGCCTAGCCAGCATGGGTTCATGAAGGGCAGGTCCTGTTTGACCAACCTGATCTCCTTCTATGATCTAGTGACCCATCTGGTGGATGAGGGAAAGGCTGTTGATGTGGTCTACCTAGACTTCAGCAAAGCCTTTGACACTGTCTCCCACAGCATTCTCCTGCAGAAGCTGGCAGCCCGAGGCTTGGATGGGTGCACTCTTGGCTGGGTAAGGAGCTGGTTGGAGGGCCGGGCACAGAGAGTGGTGGTGAACGGAGTCAAATCCAGCTGGCGACCGGTCGTGAGTGGTGTTCCCCAGGGGTCGGTGCTGGGGCCTGTCCTCTTCAATATCTTTATTGATGACCTCGATGAGGGCATCGAGTGCACCCTCAGTAAATTCGCAGATGACACCAAATTGGCTGGAAGTGTGGATCTGCCTGGGGGTAGTGAGGCCCTACAGAGGGATCTGGACAGGCTGGAGAGCTGGGCTGAAGCCAATAGGATGAGTTTCAACAAGGCCAAATGCCGGGTCCTGCACTTCGGCCGCAACAACCCCAGGTGACGCTACAGGCTTGGGGCAGAGTGGCTGAAAGACTGCGTAAAGGAAATGGACCTGGGGGTATTGATTGATGCTCGGCTGAACATGAGCCGGCAGTGTGCCCAGGTGGCCAAGAAGGCCAATGGCATCCTGGCTTGCATCAGAAACAGCGTTGCAAGCAGGAGCAGAGAGGTGATCGTTCCCCTGTATTCAGCACTGGTGAGGCCGCACCTCGAGTACTGTGTCCAGTTTTGAGCCCCTCACTGCAAGAAAGATATTGAGGCCCTGGAACGTGTTCAAAGGAGGGCAACAAAGCTGCTGAGGGGTCTGGAACACAGGCCGTATGAGGAGAGGCTGAAGGAGCTGGGAACGTTCAGCCTGGAGAAGAGGAGGCTCAGGGGAGACCTCATTGCTCTCATTGCTCTCTGTAACTTCCTGAAGGGAGGTTGCAGTGAGCTGGGGGTCGGCCTCTTCTCTCGTGTCATTAGTGATAGGACCAGAGGGAATGGTTTCAAGCTCCGGCAGGGGAGATTCAGGCTGGACATGAGGAAGTATTACTTTTCTGAAAGGGCGGTCAGGCACTGGAACGGACTGCCCAGGGAGGTGGTGGAGTCACCGACCCTGGGGGTGTTCAAGGAAAGACTGGATGTTGTGTTGAGGGACATGGTTTAGTAGGAGCTATTGGGAATAGGTGAACGGTTGGACTGGGTGATCTTTTAGGTCTTTTCCAACCTTGGTGATTCTATGATTCTAAGAAGGCGCTTTCTTGATCAGTTGTGAAGTGGTTGCTTCCATTGCCTTTCTTAAAATTTCTTTTTGCAGAGAGTGCTTGGCTCTTGTGCTGTGTGTAATTATATACACGACCTGTGCTTTTAATTTCCAGCGTGTGCAATTGGAGTTACTTCAGACAAATATTAACTATAAGCCTTGAAGCTGCTGCGAAGATACTAGATGTCTGTTTTTTGTAAAATATTTATGAAGCTGAAGAGTAAGGAATTCTGGAGTGAATATATGTACGTTGTAATTCAGATAAAAGTTTCTGTACCTTCATTGGGTGTGTTGGCTGGATGTCTGTGTTGCTATACCGCAGAGGGAAATTAGCACAAAGATTCTGAGATGAAACCATATTTATTATTCTGCTGATTAATGTTTTCATGTAGTTTTTATGTTAATATTCCAGCCACAGCAAACCGTGCACAAGGGATAATTGGTAGCAGCACCTGCATATTGCAATACAGAATCATACGTGTTAAGTGATTTTTTTTCTGCGCATATTAAATTAATGTACTTAGTTGCAGGAAAACTGTAGTTCAGGAACAATGGATTGATTCTGTAGTTCATGAAGAAGTATTAAGTGCATGCTGAGGTGACATTTAAATATCCTAGGAAATGTACGTAAGAGAATGGAAAATGTCACTGATAATAGCTAATATCCCTGCCACGCTGCCCAGTTATAATCTCAGGTTGCAATCGGATGCATTGTCTTGGCTTGCAGTACCCTCAGGGGCACATTAGCCTTATTGCACTCACAAGTTTTGCAAGGAAAAGGGAGAGAACTCGCCCTAGGTTCTGCTGAAAGTAAAAGCCCTCCCTCCATAGCGCACCCAGGCCCCGAAAAGGTCTGTATAGGTCATAGGGCTTCTCCTCCAGCTCTGCAGGGAGTTCCCGCCCTCCGGTGCAGAGCTGGTCTCTGCAGCCCCAGCAGCTACTCGTGGCACAGCTGGGGAGCAGACTGCTTCCCTGAGCTCATTCCCGACATCGCCACAGATCGAGTGTGGGCTCTGCATGGCCCAGAACCCCTGCAGGTATCGTGTGAGCTGGCAGAGAGGAGATCTCCCCTCAGCGTGTGCAAAACAGCCACGCTTGCAAAGTTGACTGAGCTTGAATGAACAGCTGCTTTGTCTGATGTGCACTGCCCAGTTCAGGAATTAGCCTTTGTCTCACAGGGAATTAAACGTGTGTAATTATCTTCTGTTAATTATTATCATTCATCTGGAGAGTAATGTGTGAGAATACTTAATTGCAATTGTGCTTACACATTGTACTTTTTTCTGTTAAATAGAATGGGACTTCGTTTAAGTACTTGGCAATCAGAGCCCATCCAACAAATCTCATGTTGTTGACCCAATAAGTAAAAGTAGTGAAAACAGATGAGCAGCATGCAACAGTGACCCTCTGTCATGAATTGTTTGAATAAATACTTGATTCAGACACGACCTCAAGAAGAACCCGTGTAGGCAGAACACTAGCGCTAGCTTTCTCAGATGTGTTGATGCCTGTTGTTGTTCCAGACATGGTTTTCCTAATCATCAGCTTTAAGGGTTGTCTGTTGCTGGGTTTCCCTGGATTGCCTTGGTCCAGCCTGGCTTCTTGTGTAGGTACAAAAGGCAGGTGCACAGCACTCCCAGAGATTTAGGGGACGTTTACTGCTGTGATGTAAGTCTAATTTGAACCTGTTTCTCTTTCAGTATTTTCTGTGCAGATGAGCTTCATGTTTTTGACTTTCCTCTTCTCTACAAGGTAATTGAGTGTCCGGAAACAGAAGCGTGTGTGATGGCTCTGGTTTTTAGTGATACAGAAATGTCTGAAGAGCAGATTTCTGAATAGGGGTGACCTCGTTTTGTTATCTCATATTGTCCTTGCTGCGTTTTCTCTGTTAGGATTTCCTAAGCTAAGAGAACGGGACCTGAATTCAGTCCTTTCTTGTGTGTTAATTACAGAGTTGTTAAATCTCAATCAATCACTGCTATACCTCATCCACTGAAAAAAAATGGATTTGCACAGATGTCACTGAAGGTATAATTTGCCCTGCAGACATGCTGATGACATATGAGAGAGAGAACTCGGTTTGACTTCTTACATCTCAAGACACATTTGCTGGGCTGGCAGTCCCGTCTTCTTTGTACTTGTCAAATGTGTTACATTTATACGGAGATTCTTAACAGACAGTTGTCCTCAACTGACGTTTGGTAGAGATATTTTTCTTTTCTTTTGAAATATCGACTAGGAAGAAAAGTTGTACGTTCACTTCTCAAAAATAGAACAGTCAGAATGGTGTTATCAAGGGGCTCAGTGATCCAAAGGCTTTACTTGAGCTAGTTAGAATGTCCACCGTTGTCCTTTGGTGCTTTCTGGAGCATTTTCCTTAGCAGCACTCTGCTGAATGCAAAGGGCCATAATACAGCAGACAACAGACATATGCTTTATATTAATCACACAATATCTGTAAGGGAAAATCATAAAGAAAGGTGCCATGTCTTACAGCTACTTATATATATTTTTTTTTTTTTAGTGCCACGAGAAAATTCTGTGACAAGGTCATACTCTGACCTTGGAAGGCAATTCTAAATAACTTTTGGATGGCTGTATCTGAGCTGGGGAAAAAAATCTGTCCCAGCAGAAATCTGTCCCTGAAATCTAAAATGTTTTAAGTTGTAACCAGCTTGGACGCTATGATACGTATTTAAAAGCTCAGAAGATGGTTCCAAATTCAGATGAAAGCTGTGAGCCAATCGTATACCTCTGCGTGTCATTTTTTCACCCTTACTGAAATTTCTTACGATGCCTAAACCCTCAGACAGAGTTTTTCTGTGAAGTGGAAGAAAACTACATATTCTAAGCAATGCTTATAGCGTGGCATCAATAAACTATCTAAACTGACTGTTTTATTATCCTTACAGGCTAGGAAAAGAAGTCCTACTTAATTCTCTTTCTTTACAGAGGTGAACTGGCCACTGCTGTGGTATAGCATGTTTGCAAAAGTAGCCCCAGCTGGAATTAAGTTGTCCTATATACTGTGCTTTCAGAACTCTTTCCCTTCACAAGAGACTATATCCATTAGAGAGTTTGCCACAACTGAGAAACAGTTCTGCTTTGTGAATTATTTGTCACTAGTACTGATCAAAAGGATGTGAATATGCATACGGATCCTCAAAGTAATGCGTTTGATCAATGACGTTTTAAGAGGTTTTTTTTTCTAATGGAGGTTTTTAAAACTTCTTTTTCTAGGGATGACTCTGGTTTCACCCCAGCAGACACAGTGGCTATCGTTTTCTGTTCCACACACAAATCTCTCACCCTGGGTAAGTCAGGAGATAAGCTTCTAAGCAAAACAGCAGTAATGTTCGTGCCTTGCTTTCTTGAAGGAAAAGAAGTTGTTGTTGATTACTGACTTCTCTGCTTAAAGGTTTTGTTTTTATTGTGAAAAGTAATGCTGTCTGTACGGTGTTAATAGTAGGATAATAGTTTTGTGCAGGTATGATACATGCTTACTACAGGGCAGGAAACGGAGTTTTCTGAGATTTCAGTGGCTGTACGGTAAGACCTTCTCATTTCCAGAAAGTTGGATTTCTCTTTTCTTGTGCTGCTGTTCTGTTGCCAGTTTTGATAACATTTCAACTTTGTTTCAGAAAACATTCTAAGATATATCTTCCCAGCCTCACAGTAAAGATCATTTACTTCAAAACTAGGATGCGTAAGTGAAAAATCAAAGCATGGAGTGCATTCAGAAATCACAAGTAGAGGATATCTGTCTTCTGTTTAACATGAGCAAAAAATAGGGATTTTAAGTCTGCAGATTTTTTTTTTTGTGTGACATTGTTTTAATTATTAGAATTAATTTATCGAAAGACGACTCAGATATTTGTCATTTAAAATCCCTTTGTGATGATAAGATGTTCTGGTGTAAATCAGAAAATACTGCTAAATTGGAGTCCCACTTAAAGCTTCCTGACACTGCTTCATCCATTACATTCAGGCAGTGAAATGGCTAGTACTTGAATATATTTGTACTGTTTTTGAAAATATAAAACGTGAAGATGTGTATGCGACTGAGTTCTGTCTTTCAAAGATAAAGGCAGCTCATGTGAATATGAAAGAGAAGAGTTAAGCCTGGAGTAAGGAAAGAACAAGTTTGGACTTAGAGAGCTGAGGTCTTCTCAGTTCAGTTTGATGTGACAAAGTAAGCTCTGGATTCTTTGCTTCAGCCAGACTTATGCTGCAGAGTGGTTAGCAAGGGTCCTTGGTAGGCTGTGGGAGGTGAGTTCCTAGAAGACAAGAAAAAGGCAAATATAATGCCTCCTTTCAAAAGGGAACTGGGGAGGGGCTGAGGACTTACAGTGAGTTAAACTTCATAGAAAACTACTGAAATGTTTAAATAATTCTAACAGCCTAGGAGGAAACTAGAATATGAGTAGCAGCCCCATAGATTTTGTCCAGTGCATACCAGATCAAACAAAATAAATTTCCTTGGTGCTATGCATTGCAGAGTGGTAGAAAAAGTTACAAGGGTTGAGAGTGTTATGGCTTCTGACAGGATGGTGCGGTCTTTGGGATTCAAACATGATGTGAACCAACTGAAAAGAGATGGGAGGAGCTTACCATAAGTGATCCTAGGTCTCGTAAACACGACCCTTCAGGAAGGTTGAAATAACCAAAATTCTTTAGAGGTGACAACGGAAGTAAAGTAGTGGTCTTGAAATGTGTGAATGGTTGATGCCAAGTAGGAAAAAGAAGCTCCTCTTTCACAGTGGACTTACAAAAGGAAAAAAGCTTTGTTACAGTGAAGAAGATTTAAGGTAACAGTCAAGGAAACCACTCTAATGTAAAAGCTTTTTAACCATGGGATGTATTACCTGTTGATGTCTTGGAATCCCTTATCATTGTAGGCAAGCCTCAGTTGGGAACTAGATAAACTGGAGCTGATTCTGACTGAAAGCAGAAGATAAATGACATTTGAGGTTCTTTCCAGCCAAATGTCCTGTGAAACTGAAGCTTCAACTTGCAAATGAGACTGCAATGGGCAGGACAGTTATAACTGCACTTAGAGAAAACAACCCCACACCAAAATCCTAACGCCCTGCTGTTCTGGCTGTTACATAGAGATGCATACGAACTTAGGACACGGCTGTGATAATACACAGGAGAAGTTGATTGTATTTGATAGCACAAATGTGTAATTCCGTCCTTTCCTTCCCAGTGAAATCAGTTTTGTATGCATTCTGTCAATACTGCTGCTGCTTGCCATGTCTCTAAGAGAATAACTGCAAATTGTTTTGTTAGTATTACTTCAGTGCTGAACCGAGCACGAGCCCTGGTAGTCTCTGAGAGCCCATCTCTGGTAAGGCCAAAGGCTCCGTCACTCTCCTGTGTACTTTGCACAGCGTTCTCATGACATAGGCCTGCATACTGTGCAGAAGCTGGCTGGCTCTGAGACGACTGGTATCCTACTTTGTTTGTTACTAGTACCAGGTCCTGGTAAGACAGAGCTGTTTAAATATGCATTTCTGTGTGAATAAAAAGGATCAGGTTCTATAAAGCTGTAATAAGATGAGGTACGGTTCTGTGCTGATGCTGTAAACTAGATTTGTTAACCAGAGCAACTAGCATTTTTTCCTTCAGTGAAGGTGACAGCAGAGAGGATATAGTTTGTTCTTCAGGATCAGCAGTATGTGAGTGACAGTAAAATCTATAGCACAGCCTTGTCTGCCCTGATCTTTACAGAAACAAGATCAGACATAGCTTTTTTGCTTTGCTGTTCTGTCACGTTCTCGGTGTCCAGAGGTGTTTATTATAGACCACTGAGTGAGGAACCTTCTGTTCTTCTGTGGCAGGAAGAGTTTTTCCCTCTCCTTTTCATTACAGTACCTGAAAGTACAACTGCATCTCAGGGTCTGGTTTCCCATCCATTGCGGAACGCTGCTTTGTTTGTCTTCGAGATTCCAGTGGTAGTGTATAAATGGCCCCCCAAGACTTGTTCTTTCACTTTGAAAGTGATTTCTCTCAGCTTGGCAGGTGAAGTTCCAGATAGGTATGTGTGGTCCCTTCCCTGGGGAGTTTCCAGTGGTACCAACAAAAGTGGGAGAAGAGCTGACAGCTTTAAAGCTTTAGAAGTGGTAATGGGAAAGGCATGAGAAGACTTTTCTAAGTCACTTTCTCCCACACCATATTATGAAACCAACAAATTCCCATGCAGCGCGTGTTCATGAGGCCAACTGCCACTTCTGCTGTTGAATCCACGAGTAAGTGCTCGCTTTGCACAGAGATGAGTGCTGTTCCCATATGCTGGGTTTTATTTTGTAGACAGAACAGCTGACACACTTTTTGTCTCAAGGATCAGAGTGCGTGGCATGTTTGTGTAAGGACAAATTACGCAGGGTAGGTGCCTTTGTGTTTCGTAGTTAGAAGCACGAGATGATTTTTCTGAATTGCGGTGGGTGCTTTGGCATGTTATTTTTTTTTATATAGTGCGTTATGTGCAGAGAAAAAAGATGTCATGTAGTGAGTGAAACAAGATAGGAACTTAAAAGTAGTGAAGATAAACACAGTCCTCACAGTGCCTTCTGGCACATTCACCCGCACTTTGTTCTCTCTCTCTCCTTCTCCCTGCTCACATATATGCACAGTACATGTGAGTGCACGCATACGCAGACATTTGATGCATGGCTTTTATTAGTGCATTTGCCATTGATTGATTAGTACTTACTATTAGTACTTCTTCTATTGATTGATTGCAGATGAAGTGACTATTTGACCTTTAATTATGAGCCTTGCTATTGAAAATGACATTGAGCTATGGCTTCACATAATCCATCTGGAGAGCCCGACATAATGCCATTCCCTGGAGTTCATTCAGTAAGAAGAGAAGAGGCCTCAAGGAAGTGAAAAGCTATCAGTGAGGCTCATCTAAAAAATACTGCAGTTGTTGCTTGGACTTGCACAGAAGTTGCAACTGAGTACAGAACTTTGTTTTTTTCACAATTAAGTGCTAGACAGAAGTTTCAACTCCAAAATTAAGAACTGAAATTGTCAATAAATATTTTTGTTTAATACTTCCATTTACTCTGTAAAATTGTTTTATGAGCAGGACGTGTAATGCTGCTACATTTTCAGGCAACCACAAGTGTAAATGTCAGTGTGGTACGTATGATGAACAACAGATTGATTTTGTTGTTGTTTTTTTTTTTAAAGTATCCCTTAAAATGAAACTGGGGTATTGGTTGTGATGCGTAGAGCATTTTTCCCTCATCTGTATTTCTCAATATACCAGTTCTTTTGTCGTGGAATTCTTAAAGTAATGCAGTCAGAGTTTCTAGAGTACCTAATGCTTCCAGGAAATAATAGAATTAATTTTGGAAATAAAAGGTAAAGCCTTGACTTTACTTGGCATGTTTTAATTTCAATCAAATTTGCTTTGGAAGTACTCAGCTTATTTCTCCGTGAGTGAAGCATTGATAGTCTATCCCTGAACAACTCTTAATGGCACTGTGTGGTGCACAGGTTGATTCACAGGCCGTTCAATTGCCTATAAGCAGCAGCCAATTACTACCAGCATGAAATTCAGCGGAGATTATAGGCGTGCTGTAAAAGGACAGTGAGATGATGATATCAGATGCGTTGCCTTATGTGAATATTCAAACCAAACTCTGTGATATTCTTGAAACGGATTGGCTTTTATCTGCTCTTGGCTGAGAGTTGTCCTCTATTCATGCAGGGTACCAAGTGTGACTAGCTTTAAGTATAGCAATAATTCCAGAGAGATCTACAGAATACTCCTGATTAAGTGCTCTCGGGAAGTTTTCAAGAGTAAGACTTGTGATGCTGTCTTTTTGACTTAGATTATTTTTGTTTGAGTGTTGAACAAGAGGCATTTCTGCTGGTAGCCTACCACAATTCTTTGTGTTGTTAGGGCACGTTTGCTTACCTGTGCCAGATTTTTTACCCAGGGATCTAATAGAGTGTTGTAAATGAAAATGGTCTGCCTACGGATCTGCCTGTAATTGGTGGGATGCTGACCCCTGCAGATGAAGGGATGTCAATGGGGGGAATACTGGTGGAAAGAGTGAGTGCTTTGTGCAGGCCGTGTCTGGGCCAGTACGTACCCTTTACTTTTGTCAGAGAATTAGAAACAGGAGGGCCCTGTTGATCCCAAACCTACTCCTGAGATCTCGGGAGATTTGGTGATTGCTAGAAGCTCCCACAGTTTTTGGTACTGCGACTCCTCGGGCCAAACTGAGAAGTTGTTCTCGTCTCTGAGATTTATGAAATCAGAACAGTATAAATGTTTTCTGCTAGCACACGCTGC